TGACTTCCTCATATCCACAGAGCCAGTTACCTCTTCATAGAAGGCAATCAGGTTGGTCAGGCATGACTTGTCCTTGGTGAATCCATGTTGACTGTTCCTGATCAGTTCCCTCTCTTCCAAGTGCTTCAAAATGGATTTCTTGAGGATTGCCTCCATGATTTTTCCAGGGATTGAGATGAGGCTGACGAGTCTGTAGTTCCCTGGATTGTCCTCCTTCCCTTTTTTAAAGATGGGCACTACATTTGCCTTTTTCCAGTCATCCAGGACCTCTAACAATCTCCACAAGTTTTCAAAGTAATGGCCAAAGGCTCTGCAATGACTCATCTCTTTGGGCTCTTCTTCGCTGCAAAGTTAACTAGAGTTGTAACTCCACTTTTGCCCCTAACATGAATCTTGTCCACATACAAAAAACCCTTAAGAACAGTGGTGCTTTGAACTCAGCTGGCTTGGCCTATTAAGAGGATTGTAGTCTAAAGGTTTATTATAGCTTAGCTACTAACAACCACTGTGTGGCATGGATGCAAACTGGCTGTAATTGAGTGCCTCTAGTCCTCCAATAAGTTCTCCCACATTTCACTGGGAATATATTTATAGAGCAGTTCTGTTTATGGCAGGGCAAAGAACCAAGATATTCCCCCAAAAGGCTTAGCACCACATCCAAGAGACTACAGTGCTAGTGTGGACACAGCAGCTGTACTGTTATTTTGCAGAATGACTGTTTTCACTCAATGTAGACTAACTTGTGAAGACATAGCCACAAAGTTTACTAACCTAATAAATTGCTAGCAAGGACTCCTCTACACCCAAATTAAACATGGATTGAATTAGCAAGACATACCTCAGTCTTTGAGTAATGAGTACAAGATTCAGAATTGCTTCAGCAACTGGCTGAGATTATAGAAAATATTTTAAAAGGAATGAAAAACTTTGTGTACATAAAAGTTTATTATAGTGTACCCCCCAGTAACCTGAAATGGCAGGTAAAGTAAACATTAAATGCAGACATAACACTTTTATAGTTTTGTTGGAATTCATTTTTATTGAAGAGCTTTGCATTTTTGAGTAACAATATTCTGTGCATTTAAGACTAACCTTTTAAAACAGTAAACAAAACATGAAATGAATTTGTATTATACAAGTGAATCAATAAGAGAAAAGCAAGTAGGGTTCCTTGTGCCAAGAGACCACATCAAAAGACACTTTTCCTAAATGACATTATGGATCACTTATTAAAACACAAAATAATGGCAAGTGTGCATGGAAGATGCATTTAGGTCTAAACACAATATTCAAAGATATCAGTAACTGTTATAACTGCTCCCAATTCTGCTTTATTTAGTTTAGAAACAAGAAAAGTTCATCCTATAAATAGATATGTAAATATGCCTTTCTTCATTCAAAAACATTCTTTAAAAGCCCAAGCACACACAAATAAGAGTTTAACTGAAAACACACGAATATAGTTTGGAATTCTGGTGACTCCCTGTACAGTACAATTTATGGTTGGGAATTCAGTTTAGTGCTTCTATAGCATCCAGTAAGAAGATAACTAGCTGGTTTAATAACTGAACACATAAAGCACAGACTCTCTGAGGACTATCATTTGGTTACTGAGTCTACCAGCCAGCTCAAACATTACAACTATAGTGAATTAAGGCCCAATCCTGGAAATTCTCACTTCTATAAAGCAGTCTTCTGTAAGTCAGAATTACTCACATAGGTAAGGATAGCAAGACCAGACCCTTAATATGTTGTTTCCTGATCTCCTGAAAAAGGATTATTTACCAAGGAACCTCATTATTGTCCTTGATTCAAACTCAAAACTGCCATTGAACTCAAGGACTTTCACATGCATACGGATAGCAGGATCAGGCCCTAAAGCGAATAATTTTGTAATTATCTCAAAGAGTAGATATAAATACAGAATCTCTAAATAAAGGTTAATATTAGATTTCTGTCCCAGCTACTTAGTATCACTGCAGTAATCCCCACATTACAAAAATGTTGTTTTAGTTCAATGTAATGTTGAACATGTGACTCACTGTCTCTCCTGCAACCAGTATGAACATATTTGTCCCACTGTTATAGATATAGTCAACCTAGATCAATATCCATAGTGGCAAAGCAGGCTAGGCTGTCTTAACAAAATTCACCACAAAAGGTACTGAAGCTCTTTCCATATACTATAAGATCAGTGGGTCTAAACCTTTCCATGCTATTTTATCCCTTTCAGAAGTCTGATTTATCTTGCATACCTCTGAGTTTCACCTCATTTAAAAACTACTTGCTTACAAAATCAGATCTAAAAAATACAAAAATGTCTATTATTGAAAAATGCTTACTTTCTTATTTTTACCATATAATTATAAATCAATTGGAATATAAATATTGTACTTTTCAATGTATAGTATATAGAGCAGTATAAACATGTCATTGAGTGAAATTTTAGTATGCCACTGACTTCACTAGTGCTTTTTATGTAGCCTGATATAAATCTAAGCAAATTTCTAGATGAATTGATGTAACCCCTGCAAAACAGCTGTGTAGTCCCAGGGATATGCCTACACCTGGTTGAGAACCACTGATCTAGATCAACTGGGTTCAATATCAGTTTGGAAGAGTGTCGATGTGGGGTAGGATTTGTATTTGACACCTAGTTTCTAACACAGATCATTTGAATGTCTGGATATATCGAAGAGATTAATTATCTTAATTCCAGCAATGAGGCACAAAACTATTAACATAATATAATAACGCGGGGACAGGGAATGTATTAATTTTGGCTATTACAGAAATTTTAAAGCAGCTCTTTTGGTTGAAAACCCTCAGAGTTGCTTGGCAAGTTAAAAGGAGAGGACCCCTTCCATCACTGAAAATACCAAGCCTCTTGTCCCCCCACAAAAACCTCCCCACCCAATCCTTATATAATGAGAAAACATTGAACAATGTTATTGGAATGATACATTAACAGTTGATAAGAATGAAATAATTTGGTGCCTTGTCCCTTTACCTTCTATACCGAAAAAAGACAGGGACAGAAAGAAATGATCAAGTTCTTCTTAAGCTGCAACATCCATAATTGACCTAAAAACATAGTAATGTGAACCACAGAACCAACATGTTTAGAACATCACAAAAGTATTTTCTCTCACTCCAAAAACTGCATACATGAAATCTATATTAGTATTTATGTGAGTTCTACATATAGGCCAAAACAAGAAGAGCCCTCTTAGATATTTTTCAGTTTGTGTTCATACTTTGTCCCCCAGACACTAGAAGAAATAAGCCAGTCCCTGTATTAACACTGCTTTCTGAGGAAAGCAGATGCAGTTGGAGTGTTATCATAAGGCAAAGAGGGGATAGAAGGGGAAACTGACATTGCTTTCTTATAATTTGGCAACTTTCTCAAAGATCAGAAACAGAAATGACCTTGTTTCAAAATGTTTTGTATCACTGAGCTAACAAAATTTGGCAATCATTTTCAAATATAAACTTCTTCAAGTAATGCACGCAATTCATAAAAAGGAATGCTATGTTTACATAGGAGAAACAGTGAATCAACAGGCGTATAGCAATCTGTGTGGCAAATTCCATTTTCTTCACAAAACTCTTTTCAATATTCTTATTCATTTCCTCAAACTTGTCTAGTAGTTCTAGGCATAAAAGAGATACTGCCAAATAATACCAGAGATCTTATATAGAAAGACTCAGTCATGCTGAATCATGAAAAGCAGAAACTTGATTTAAAATAAAAATAAAACCCACAATAATAGTCCCTTTGTCTCCCCCACCAACAAATAATAGTAGGCTGCTAGAGAGAAAACAAAATATGCTATAGGTTCATGCTGAAGATTAGGCAACATTTAATTGTCTTACTTTCATTTAGACAGGGACAAGAGTAAGAGATCTGTAAGCAGAAACTACAAAATGTCTATTCGCAGTCTTACAATTAGAGAAACATGGACTAAAAGATAATGTAATAGCTAGTTTTCCAACACCATTACAGGTTGCATCCTGCTCATGCCGAAATCTACAGAAATTTTGCTGTTGACTTATGTGGGAGCCAGACTGCACTCACAAACAGTACAAGGGAAAACATTTCTCTGCTACTTAAGAAGTGTTGATGAAGACACTTGTAGCTGGGGAAATGTAGAGCCCAAAAGAAATACACTGGCAAGAGGAAAATATTTAAGTACTCTATTTTAGCATATAATTAAATCTTTACTTGTGTTAGGGTGCGTCTACACTGCACCCTTACCTTGAAATAAACTATGCAATTTGCGCTACACAAATTGCATAGGTTATTTTGAGTTATTTTTGAAATAGCTTATTTAGAAATTTGGTGCTTTTCAAAATAAAGCGCTATTCCAAAATGTCCCTTAACCCTCGTAGAACGAGGGTTACAGGGACACCATAATAGTGTGCTCATTATTTCAAAATATATTTTGAAATAATGGGTTGATTTAAAGATGCAGAATAGCTATTTAGAGATACTTATGGTATCCCGAAATAGCTACGCAATGTAGACATAGCCTTATTAATTTTTGGTTCTTAGAATTATAAAAATGTTAGGAAGCATTTTAAAGCACCGCATAACTTCTATTACATCAATATACGTAACTGCGTGGCCATGATATGCTACAGTTTGAAAGTGGCATAAAACCTTTATAAGTCCTTTGCTGAGCTATACCACCAATTTCTATGTTGTTACAAAGCAGAAGAAAATAAAATGAGTGCTATAGTTTTAGAATGCCTCTTCAACTACCGTAAAAGCTACCTAGGACGTTGATGATTGTTGGAAGTAAGAGTGATTTATAATGTGGAAGATATGTTTAAAAATCATACATGTAAATTTTAAAATTACTCCTTACCACTTCAGGTGCACATATAAATAGGCCTTCATGATTTTCCAATGGATGGCTATAATATGCAGGCTGTGTGAATGCCCCTTTGCCAAATATCTAATCTAAGGCATAGAATGAGTTAATATTGCCCTTGCTGAATTCACCGATGCTGTTCTTTAATAGGATTCATTAATTCCATGGTAATACAATTCTACTTTTAAAATGTGAAAAAATGCCCCCTCCCTTTATTACAATACTTCTTACAATTCAAATGTTTATTTTCCATTCCCCGCATGAAAAACTGCTCTTTGCAATTAATGATGATTAGAACATGCAACCAAATATCTAAAACTATAAACAGTGTCAACCTGTAGGATAAGAATATTATACTAAAAGCTTAAGCTCTTGCACATGTAATGAAATGCCATTTCTGGCCATTTTGGCTTATTTATGACAGTGCCTAGGAATTAGTGCATATTTCACTGAAACGCACTAAATCTTGCACACAAACCTTTAATTAGGCAGCTATGTGGTGAATGTGCCAATGGAAATGTTATTCACTGTTCAAATTCTTTTTTGTGGAAAGGACCCACATTGGTCACTTAAATGAGAAATATATGGCAACATTTTTTTTTTAGAACTGTACAATGTGTCACAATACAATTTCAAATCCTAATTTTACAAAAGAACAAGCATTATAATTTCCACAAGCAATTACCAGGATCACTACACATCACAACACCTACAATTTCATTTTATATCACAATTTAAAAAGACATTGAGAAATTACTATATTTTTGTATTGTTCAATATCATTTGAGGCAATTCAGGCACTAGTTATCGGATAAGGTTTTATGTTGTTGCTTGTTTTCTCCTATGTTTATATAGCTTTATCTCCAGATGTAAGTTTATCTGCATAATTAGTACTAAAATATGTTTTAAGTTTACAAAAATGGATGCAATTGCCCAGACATAGTTTAAACCACTTTAAATCAATCATTCCAATTCAGTTTCCCATGCTTCCAACTTTGCAAAAGCATCTTCCATGCTACCCTAATGTTTTCATGTTCATTGTGTTCAAATTCATATTCATGTACCATGGATGCTGCAAGCACCAATCAAAATGTTAGGAATTAAATCTATTTTTCCTGAAGCAGAGACAATTTTACAATTTTATAAAAAGCTGTGAACGTTCCCTTTACAGAACATTTAAGGCAGTTGAAATTCATGCTTGCTGTTTTGCCAGTGCTTCAGCTTCCTGAAATAATAAAATAAGGATTAGTAAATACTTTATCAAAGATAGCAATCTGTATGCATTTTTGTTACAAGTGAACATCTGTGTTACATGAGAAAAAAATTCCAGTGAAACATGAGGCCAAAAGCAAGCAGTCCTGATCTTGTAAATCAAATACAAATCTCTCATTTCCTTGCTGGGGCAGGGTCCTGCCATACATTGATTAGAGCCCACACTGGAGTGGTAAGTATCCTCAATTTACACAGAATTCAAATGGAAACTACAGGTATATCGAAAAATTCACGTTTTCTCCTATTACATTTTCTAGACCATTATTAGGTTTTGTTTGCTACCCAAATAGTGTATTAAAAGTAAAAGATCAACATTAACATATTTTCTTTTGTTGTTCATGATAGGCTGCAAAAAAGATTAAAATATTGTTAAAAGTCTTAACAGACTTTTTGAAGCATGATAGGTACATAAGATGTTGAGAGAGAAATAATTTTGTATAAAAGGCATGAAAGCAATTTCATTATGGAATACAAAACAGGTTCTTGGAGAGATTTAATCTACCATCTAAATGAATACTATGGAATGAGTAGTGGATAGTTAACTTTGTCATCACAGAAACAATGTAACAGAAGTCAGCTAAGCTCTAGAATTGCTTAGTAATGAGAAGTTTCCAAAGAAATGTTTAAAAATATACTCCACGTCATCTTGTCTTCAGTGTTCAGAAGGAATGGGAATAAAATGACAAAAACAGAGGGAACACAAAAGGAGACTGTTACTTTTCTCAACATCATTTTTGCCATTGTCATTCTTATTTCTTAATAAAAATGAAGATTAAATTAAATTAGATTTTAATGCCAACCAGAACCGCTATAAGTTTCTGAGGTTCAGACTTCCAAGAGCTTAGCACTCAGGACCATACACCATTGCACAATGTGCTAAACTTTTCTGAAAATGTGGACATTTATTTCAGTGCTTAAATGGGAGCAAAGATCTTTTGAAACTTCAGCACTACATCCTGAGCTTGAACAATTATGTCCATTTTACAAATACTGTACACAGTATAAGTAAATCAATACTCAGAAAGAGGAAATCTATGTACAATTTGTACAGTTTTCCTCATGATAAGGCGGGTCTGCCTATGGTGGAAGAGGCAGCAACTGCCTTGAGGCTTGGTGATTCAAAAGGGTGGAGGCTGCAGCTGGAGCCCTGGGCCCTTAAATCACTACCAGGGCATCACGTGGTGCACTCCAAGCAGCAATGAGGGCTGCAGCACAACACCCCTTCTGTGTCCCTTCTGGGAGTGCAGAGCTAGACAACCTTCCTTACCCAGGAGCCCACAAGTCTGTTGGCCCCCTGTGTGAAGGAGAAGAGAAGAGATACAGTGACTGAGTTCAGCCTAAAGGGAGTATGTGCCCCGCATATCTCCATTATCTTAGAATCAGTAGATCATTCTGGATGTTTTGGAAATTTGCCTACATATCAAATCTTATTCCCTTTAAAATCAAAAGCATGGGAACAGTTCCCTCTGACAACTCTGATGGCCACATGTTACAGGCAGGAGGGAGACAGCATCAATCACATAGTGGTATGGGAGGCATCCACACAAAGTTTATTCAGGGGAGGTGGCAGAGAAGGAGGATGAGAAAGGAGCAGAGAGGGAAAAGGGACAAGAGGACAAGGGAGAAAATGATGCTCCATGTTTTCCAGAGGGTAGTGGCATCTCACATGGCAGCATGAAACAGATGAAAGGTGTAGTGCTTCTTGTCAGTTTCTAACTGCTCTCTCTGGCCAGATGCAGGCTTCTGAGGAGTGCAATCCAACTCTCCAGGCATCACAGATCAGACTTTCAAGAGCAGGGAACTCAAAACATCCCTCCCATCAAATAATGCCTTTGATAGTAAATACATTGCCCTATTTCTTTCAAAGGTTGTCAACTTCCTGTCCCATCTCAGGCCCAATCCTGCAAGATATTTAGAAGGGACTCAGATCTTCAGAGAAGTGGGGTCCCCTGTTTGCCAGCTCTTCCCTTTCAAATTTTGCGGTAAAGTTAATTTCTCCCATAATTCTGTACATTGAGCACCCTTTCAGTCTGTCTCAAACACTGAGTCATAACTTTAATTTTCCACATCAGGCATGCATGGAAGAGACTGACACCCCTAGACATCTGGGCAATTAATGTACCAAGCTGTGCATATTGAATGTATTATCTGTAGGATCATGTATTTCCCTGAGTGTGCAGAGCACTAAACAAATCATTGACAGTTAATAAATAGCTATTTGTATTTCTAATAATGTTGCTTAGGCTTGGTTCCGACTGCTATTCCCTTTACATAACATCCCTGTACTGCTGACAAACAAATTCTCTCAATCTCTTGTGGAACACAGCAGGCATGCTGTCAAAACTCATCTCACTCAGAAGGGTGGTAGGCCGCTGCTCTGCTACCTCTTTTCACTTATTACATAACACTGCACAAAAGAATTATGTAGATAACAATTATATAATTCCCTCCAGCCGTAAAGATGTTTTCGTTTTCTGGCATATGCTGAAATCCAAACATTTTAAGATAAATTTCTCATTTTGGCCAAAAGTCAGGCTGACAGCAAAAGGAAAACAGCAGTTCTATGTGTACTAAGTTACATAGCATAAGGGTTGTCTTCATTTACTAAATGGTCACCTGAAACTTAGGAGGCACTATAGAGATTAAATAAATAACGCAATTGCACCTGTTTCTCTTTTTTAAAATGATCTTTTCTTTCCAATCACCCTTATGACAGTATCAGGCTGACAAATGGCTGTGCCAACCAGGTTACATGTTCTCTTTCACAGCAGTTATTATTGGTGAAAGACTCAAGTGGGTGGGTAGCATCAGATATTACACTTCTATATAACACATCAGAGACAGAGGGATGGATCCTGTAAGGGGCTAAGTGCCCACCAGTCTCATGATTTCATGGGGAAAGGAGCAGGCTTAACACCTTCCAGGTTCAGGCTCAGATTGAGCAATCATCTACTGATTCACATTCACTTCACTGGCTTCAATGGGGCTGCATGGCTAGAACAGAACAAAATTTGTCCCGGGCTTTTCTGTCAGTCTGACTGACCGCCTTTGGGGGAACATGAAACGTGAGGCTGTGCACGGACAGAATTCAGAGCCCATGGTGTGTAAGTGAGTGCACAGGAATTCTCTGCTCCACTGCAGACATGACACACAGCAAGTCCTACAGTGGATGGATCTATCCAGTCTGGCTACACAGCAGCAATGCACTGGTTGCACTGCAAGCAGGGACCCCAAACCGTGAAAGACTGAGGGCCAGGATTTGCCCCCAGAGGTTTTTTTTGTATAGACAATTGATGCAGATATGAGTGACTGGGGCTAGTTTTTATGCATTTGTCTAATTTGTACAGATTCTGCAGATGCTCCTAAAACCTGACATGGCTGCATTTAAAATATTCTTGAGAAATTTAAATCTCTGCAGAATGGAGCATTTCAAGTAATCTAATTCATAACTCAGGTGTACCCACGTAAACAAAAGGGCTGGTACCGAAAACCTTTGAGAGTGACTCTCGGATCCTAATGCCCTCCAGTAAAATATGTGAAGAATTCATATCCTATTGCATCAACGTTAAGGGAGGAATTCAGTTTGGTGGATCTGTATTACAGCAACCCACATTATAAATGGCAAAGAAAAGGTGCAACTACAGGTAATGGAGGGTGTGGAAGAAAAGAATATTCTAACATTGATTTACCTATGGGCAAAACTGTTGAAAAAACAACTGAGCAACATATTCAAGATATGTTCCATTATAAATCTTAGCAGCTTATTTATCCAAATTGCTTTTTGGCCATTGTTTCAATTTCTTTTCCCCAGAATTTCTAGTGAAATTTAAGGGATGGAAATTCCTCTGAGCAGGGATTGTCTTCCTATGTGTGCATACGGACGACACTGTCCAAAGTCAAGAGGCATCATTATATAGTGACTGATCTAGCTCCTATTTCACTCAACAGGAGCTTTGCCAATAACTTACATGGAATCAGGATTGGGACCATCATGAAGTTAACAAAACCAGTGTCAACTACAGATGTTAAAGACTAGTCGACTATCTGATAAGTATTTGCTTATCGGATAGTCTTTTGACTAGTCGATTCCCCCCCTCCCTTGCTGCCTCTATGAGGTAGCATTTCAAAGGGGCAGTGGAACCCAGGCTCAGCTGGGGACTCCCCAGATGATCCCAGGCTCCGCACAGAATTTCCCCAGAATCCAGGGCGGGTTCCGGGGAAGTGCTGGGCAGAGCCCAGGATCAGCTGGGGAGGCATCCGCTGTCCCTGGGCTCTTAGCGGCATGCAGCATAGCACGGAGCCTGGGGTCAACAGGGGACTCTGGGTGACCCGCTGGGGACTCTTGTGCATTTCAAAGTAGGTATCCGCATGCAGCTCAGAGTCAGTGGGACTTCCCACTGGCCCCGGACTGTACACCGAGTTCTGCTTTTCTCCTTCGAAATGTACAAGAGCTCCAGCGGGGGCTCTTGTACATTTCAAAGGAGGAATGCAGAAGTGCCCATCGATTAGTCGATGGAAATTCAATAGACTTGTCAATTAACCACACTTTAACATCCTTGGCATCAACTATTACAGTAACAAATATGTGCACTGAATCATCCTAGGCTTGGGGGGAAGGAGCAAGTCAAGCCTCTTGGAGAATGCCACATCCTCCAAATAAATGGACACATAATACCCATGTATGTGAAGTAATGTCCATGTTCAAAGCAAAAGTCTTTGTAAAGTGAATGTAAAATCCACTGGAATACACACACAGAGCAACCACAACACATTAAGAGACAAAACATGGTATTACTTTTTGCGGGTGAACAAAAACAAGAGAGCAATGAATAGGCTTGCTGCTTTCCCAATGGTCTGTCAGTTGCTATACAGGCAGCTTGCCTCAGTCTCCCTTCAGTAATTCACAAAAGGATTCTCTTACCTCTCCTTAGGATCTGGTTTTATGGTCCCAACATTCAAAATAAAATATGCACAAAAAGTCTACCCATAGCTTTAAACTGAATACAGCACCTCTTGGGGAATTTTGAGACAGTACAGGCAGTCCCCAGGTTACGTACAAGATAGGGACTGTAGGTTTGTTCTTAAGTTGAATCTGTATTTAAGTCGGAACTGGCGTCAGCCGCTGCTGAAACTGATCAGTTTCAACAGTGGCTGAATCTGGACGCCAGTTCTGACTTACATATGGATTCAACTTAAGAAACCCAGGCGTCCCCAAGTCAGCTGCTGCTGAAACTGATCAGTGGCTGATTCCAGGAAGCCCGGGGCAGAGCAACTCTGCCTCAGGCTTCCTG